TTTAAAAAAGTTACATACTTTGAAAACTGCTGAGTTTCGTAAATAGCGGCCTTTAGTTTAACTTTACGTGCCACGATGAAAAACAAATAAAAGAGGTACTGTAAGGGAATTTCGATCAATGCCTTTATTCATTTCCTTTGAGCGTATTTATTTGCTTTAAATTTTGGTTCATGCAATAATTTATTTTAAATTAATTTGTTTCATTTATAGAAAACAGGACTAATGAAAATAGTTGTAATAAAAAATCAGAAATTAATTTCACGGGTAAAAGATTCTTATAGTTATCCTAGAATAACTTGACTGAAAACTTATGTAAAATGGATAGTGAAAGTAATTTTTTGATTGACAACAAACTCCTTTCTACATCGTTTTCAAAGTTCTTTTATAGATGCAGTTTAAGACTAGAGTAGAAACGAAAGTATTATCATCTAAATTATTCGAATGATAATATTAATCCTCACATAACCGCAAGTCAACTCACACGCGGTAATAATACATGAAACACCCGCGTTACACACCGGCTCTCGACAACAGCGATAATACAGAAAAGCCCGTCACCGACGTGCTGAATATGAAAAGCCGTGCAGTCGAGGACTTTAAAGCGAAGCCGTAAACGGAGAGAAGGACACGGAGGACGGGGGGGGGCAGGAAACTTCACTCGGCTAGCAAAATACACTGGCGCTTCGCAAACATCCTTTTTCCGCTGTACAGCTACTGTTGGCCACACGTCACTTTCCTCCCGGTCCATCCATCCCTTGTCAGTATCCCGTATTTGAGCAAAGAAGAAGAGCCCGAGGGCAGTCTTCGTCCTGTATATGGGTCTGACGTTTGAAGGGCTCGAAAGGGTGTGGGCAAACCAAAAAGCCCAGCGGGACGGAGTATATTACTGTTTGGGCGCGATCCTCCGTTTCCTCTTGATTTCCGACCGTGTGCAACTACATTTCCTCGGGTGGACCACCCAAAGTTATAATTGATAGGGTGGAATTTCGGAAAAAGTTGGGACGCACGTAGGTATCCTATTAATTCCCAAAACTCACCGAATCATCGTGCAAGCTTCTGAAAATAGAAAGCTCGAGTCTCCATTTGGCTGATATTACGCGAGTCACACCGCATGGACGAAGGGAGGAGAACACGAGCTCGACAGAAAAAGGGCAGAAAAAGGTGCGTTTACCCGAAAAAATGAAAATCCTCCCGAGCCGACTGCAGGTGAATTAATTTTCACTCGGACGAACTAGCCCAGTGGGCACCGTAACCAACAGCACGCGGGGGTGCAAGAAAAAAGCTCTCGCGTGTCCCAACTCCCTATCGTGTACTACGCCCATTAGACACTTTTTACAGCCGTGGTCATCAGCCGGCAGAGCCAAATAGTTAATTATTACTGGCGAGCCGACACCTGGTCGGTTACATGCATACATGTGCGAGGGAAAAAAAAAAAAAAAAATAGGGACGAGTGGCAGCGAACTACCTTGTATGTACCACGCGAGTGTTGCTCTTTATTCTTTCATGATGCCCCTATATGCTCGCGCGGAGGAGAGAGCGAGAGATTTCACGCGTGACATTTGCCCTCCCTTACTCGCTTGCTCGCACATTGATTTAGAGGCACACAGGGCCAGTAAATTTTCTAGTCGCGCGCACCGGCCCTCCCGACCCCTCGTCCCTCTGTAAACAGCTGAGTATGATTCACGAGCTGCGTTTTCCCATCTATACATATATACACAGCCAGTACAGTGTACGTGTGTACACGAGATATTTCGAGATCGCTTCTGGCGACGCGTCGTCGCAATGCCAGTACATCCCCGCCCTTTACTTTACGCCGTTGCTGTTGTTGTGGAAAATGACAAACATTTTTTTCCAAATTCTGTTCAACAACTTTTTCGAGTCTCACGAGGTTTGATGCCACGCGAAAAATAAAAAGAGAAGACAACATTGATTTTGGATCCTCATGCGTGCGTGATATCACATTTTTCATCGAAGGGTTAACGAGAAATTCATCGGATTACGTTCCGGATCGAGACGCAATACGAGGGTGTGCCTTGTCAATAATATTCCTCCCATTCTCTCCCAGAGCGTACATATGCGTCGCGTCGTGTGCTAATGCACGAGTTCGATCTCATGCCGATGCTATCAGCAGACACCCACACGAATCCAAGACGTCGGTGCAAAGCGAATGGATATTAGCCGACGGTATAATATACTCGCGCGTGTCTACATGCGATGTTTTCCTCGGCAAGCGCGCATATCTCGCGTCTGGGAAACGAGAGGATGAAGCCGGAGGGGGTAGGGAAATCAACTTTGTCAGGCTCGATGAATCCAAAGTACTTGAGACGCGCTTGATCCTCCCCCCACTTCCATCACCGAGACAAGCTCGTATAACGCAATATTTCCATCTGGTGCCTCCTTCGGTACACCATCACCTCGTCTGTATCCTATAACCAGCAGCCACGTCTATGTACACCCTCGTCTTGTGCATGTAAATCACACGGGTGCTCGTATTAGAGTATTCGAGGTAACTAAGTCTTCCTGAACCGTTTTTCTCTATTTTCCATCATTTGAAGATGGCAAATCATTACAATGGCGTGGGCTCAACTATTGTTTTACCCGATGAGTTTGAAAAAAAAAAAAAAAAAAAGAAAAATAGTTCGCCCTGACAAATTTTCCTTTGACGAAGCGTCAAATGTGTCCGTCACTTGTAAGGTTGCAGTGTACGCCTTGCAATCAACGAAAAGACGCGCCCGACGAGAGATCCTGACGTTGCGTTGGAGCATAGCTAATGCTGTCTTCCCTCTATGTGCGTGTGCAGTCCTTGTCTCCTCCCTCCGTCATCATCCACGTCGTCGTTGTAGTCGAGATTGTAATTATCCTTAATTAATTGAGCAAAGGCGGGGCTCTTGGAGTGCCGTTCAAGGAAACCCTACCACGTCCCGTCTGCTCGACAAAGGCCTGTGCCGCGTCACCAAAGCCTCATTCTCACTCCTTTGCTCCACCACTGTCTTACCCTCGCTCTTGTTGTCACTCCCCCCCCCACCCTTTACTGGTACATGTTCCATTATGGAATAATTATTTCAACTAAACATTACATCACCGCAAAGTCAAATATACATATAAAACTGAAGAACATTCATCACTCGTTTCATCAGTCACAAGTTAACTACGACAAAGTTGCAGATTAATACCACTACCCTTAGGATTCACAATATATCTTAATTTTACCAACCACTCGACATTTGCATCTCTCCACCATCTGTCGCTTCCCTCATCCTCGTCACTGTCGTTGTCGACGTTGTTGTCTCCAAGTTCGCTCTTCAAGACATTGACAAGCAAACGCTAAGTCAAACATCCATCTAGAAGATGAACATCTAGAGCTGGACTCGGCACAGGGCAAGTGGAATTTGATCAAGTGCCACCATCAAAGAGCTTCTATACAATTATAATAATGGTAACGTAAAATGTAAGACAATACATGTTTGAAAAACAAAGAGAGGTCCTATTTGTAATAAGAGAATTTCATTAACACGTCAGACACCTAGTCTACACGAATAAAAACAAAAGGTATTCGCTAACAACACGTACATAGGAGTAGCTGTAGAGATAGGAAACGCGAAGGAAGAAGCAAGGGGGTTAAAGAGGAAAAAGGGAGAACAGAAAAAGAGAGTGACGGGTTCTTCTGTCGGCCTAAAACAAATAAAAGCTCTGTAGGAAAGATAAGCATGCTTTCACGGCGATACCGCGGTGACACTCGGCAGGGATATTGCACGAGGCGACAGGCAAAATGGAATTTTCTTTGAAGAAGGACTACCCTTAGCCGAGACACCGAGAAAACTTTTCATCCTTTCTCATCCGACACTCCCTCCATTGTCTTCTAATCCTTTTACTGCATTCCCGTTTCATGGTACACCTATAATCTATTTTTCACGGCCACTATAGACATTTCTGTTCTTTCTTCACACAAGATTTTGCCCGTCTATTGAGTTCTAGTTGTCACCGTTGAAAATAATATATTCAGCAAATTTGACACTCTACGCCCGCAAGACAAGGCCGGATTGGCGTCCAAAAATTTCTTGGCAGCCCCATCTTTTTACAGCAAACACACGTTTCCATCCATGTATGCATCGAATTCGGAGAAATCAACCAAATAAGCTCACACATCCGTTATTATTTGCCAGTTACATTACCTGCAACAATTGGAACCTTGAAACGCAATTACGGGTGGATCAGAGCGACCAGAAATAGAGACGGCGAGCACTTATGAAACGAACCCGATATCGAGATGGGAATCGCGCTGCTCAATTAGGAACCACTCGGCTTCCTCGTGGAGTTCATTCCGTGCCGTGAAATAAATACACTTAGCACTAGCACGAGAAATTGCCCGCGGCAAATCTTATTTGGGAGCGCGCACGAGGGTGAAATCCTTCGTCTTCCTTTTGTTATCAGACTCTTGCTTTGCCGTCTGAGAGCATGTCTCGCGGGGTATGGCTTTTCGAAGTGGGATGGGGGAACATTTTTACTTCCCTTACAAAGCAATCCTTCATAAAAATGGTGGATGGCAGACTAGACCCTACTCTCCTTGGAAATTTCGAATTTGCAGGGGAATTGTTTTCCATTGGGACAACGCGATGAGGCAGACGGAGTGAAAAAACGTACTCACGGAGAAAGAAGGGAAAACAAGGAAAACGAAAGAGAAGATGGCACTCCGATATTGTTTTCTTATCGCTCGTAAAGCTTCCGCCTCGTTAAAGGAGGATCAGAGCCACGAGGCTGTCGTCTTTTCACCCGTCCAATTTTTTCAAAAATAGCTCGCGAGGGATGTTATTCTTTTCGTTGCCATTGCTGTGATTCCAAATGAAAGTTTGAATAAACAATTATTCGTAGTTAATTTTTGTCTTAAAGAGTTTTATGTTCTCTTGTATTCATTAGAAGAAAAGAGTATTCAAATCCTTGAAAAATTTTGAACAAATTTTCAAAGGTACACACGTAACTCATGATCCGAATTTTACTTTCAGGTTTGTCTTTGGCCTTTGGGCTGATAACCTTAGTCTCGGATATGTCTGAGATTCTATGGTTGACACCAGTCTACGTCTTCACGTCTGGAAACTCAACTTTACCTCAATACCAATACGGCTGGTGTCTTCAGCTGTCAGCATTGGCGTTCATACTGGCAAAGCTCGCAGCTATACTGACCGTATCTGGCTACATGGCACGGTTTCCCACTGTAGAAGACATGGTAATTGTTTGCGTGTGTTTTTTTTTTTTCTTTATTAAATTATCGTTGACCCTAACAATTTGATTTATGCAGGTCAGAGATATGGTACCTGGAGCTGAGAGAAAGTTGCGGGAGCAGTTGGGTCTTAGTTCAGAGTATTTAGTTAGGTCCCACCAAAAATCACCAGGTCCAACTCCTTGCACGGGTGTCAATCAACCCACTAAAGGTTCAGGTATAAAAATTAAGTATTAATCGAGTGAAAGAACGGTTGGTCATTTGTTACTTAAATTTTTAATCATTTAAAATTTAATGCAAGGTTTTATTTGAATAATGCTTTTTCTGTACATAACTATTTCAAAGTATTGTTCTGGATCAAGTAAAATATTATGTAAATCCCACAATATGATGAATTCAGATGAATTTAAAGAGTAAATAACAAAATAATAATTGAAGAATCATTAACATTTTTTCATCAAGTCACGTAAAATTTTTATTTTGTTGATACATAAAAATACAAATATGTTACAGTAAGAAGTATAGAGCAAAATAATAAGTATCCTTTCTTAAAAAAAAGAATGCAACGTGACTGAAACCTTTGATTCGTGACATAACTAGTTAATTAAGCCTAATTTTGAGCTGGTTAATTTAAATGTTAAATTTTGGGGAAAAAAAGAAATTGTATTTCGCATGTTGAATGAAAATTTAAATAATCTGTTTAATCGTTTTAATAAACTGAAATTTAATCACTCTATTTGAACTAAATGTTTTTTATAAATATGTATTATTAATTGTTGGGGGTCGAAGCCCCACCGTAATGTGTAAAACCGAAAAAACATGTATAATTACAGGCCCACCAAGACTGGCTGAGGAAGGTACATCGTTACTCTGTAAATCGGCACCGGACATCTGTGCTTCAAATCCCCAGTCAGCCATTAGCTACGTGGACAAGGCTGACTTATCACACATGCTTCCTGCCTACCCCGAGACCAAGGTAATAGAGCCTCGGTTTGCAGCTCCAGGCTTTCCTGAAAAGACTGACCAGAACGTCGTGGATTCTCGACTTAGCGGCTTCGTCGATAAGGAAGGTCTCATCATGGACTCTCGTATGCTTTCTGAATCTCGACAGAACGTTATTGCCTTTGCTGAGGGTAAAGAGCACCCCAATTGCCAGGAACCACCCGCGCGTTTCAGTGACTTTCCTCCACCCCCGGAACCACAGCAGCAACTGGTACAGCCATCTCCATCGGTACAGCAGCAACCCCCATTAGCATTTGCTGATAAGGAACCACCCGATTTTACCGGCAACGAGCAACAGTCAATTGTCGATTCGTTACTCGACGCACCCTACGGCTACGACACGCGTTACAACAGCTTAGCCGGCCAAACGGTACCCATCACCCTTAAACACCACCACCAGCAGCAGCTGCCCTCTAACTCTACGGTGGCTGCGATGCAATCAAATCAGTACCATTACCAGAACTTTGGCACCATACACTCGGGGATGCTGCGCGTCGCGGAGCCTGGAACCAGCTCTACTAGCTCCAACTGCTCGAGTCAGCGTAGCATGACCCTACAGAACCCCAAGCGTAAGGCGACAGCCAATGCACAGATAGCACAGAACACCTTTAGCACGCTAGAATGTGAGCGACGCAGAAGAGGAGGTGGAGGAGGTGTGGGTGGGAACGCGGCTGCGGCTATGCAAGTCCCAGGAAAGGCTAATTTTTGCGCGGGGAGTGCGGTATGACCGCCGGCTCAGTCTCCTACGCCGAGGTAACTCCGGAATGAGGAGACCTCGCTGTAAGCTTTTCGAGTGAGAGTCGTCCAGACGTTTTCGTAACTATTCGAGTAATTGAAGTTAGGATGCGAAAAAGAAAAGAGGGAGAAAGAGAGACTGTCGTTGTAATATCGAAAGAAATTTACGTGGAAGAAATTGCTAATCATTAATCCTATTATCAATTTTAAATCTACGATGGATTTGGAATTTTCATCTGTTTTGATTAAGCGGGATTCCAGTTCAAGGATTTCTCTAAAAAAATTAATCATCCGAGTAACTTGGAAAGTAATGTATCAAAAATTACGTGTACAGAATATCTGTGAGAACAGAGTTAGTTGTGTCATAATGGTGCGTCCAAAAATTAGTGAGCAGAAAAAATTCGTATCCACTTGCGATATTGCAATAATATCGGATACTGAGAGTGGGTCAACATGAATATGTACAGCCAATGATCACTTGTTTCTACAGGTTGCATTAAAAATTTTAAAATAAGGATTCATCACTTAAATATATTCTTTGGAAGCTCCACTGCCATAACTTAGAAGCTGTGCAAACAAACCAATGAGATGAAAATTTATGGTCACACTAAAAATTTTTATAGAACAGAAGAAAATTGTCAAGCGATATTTCTGCCACTAAAAAAGCTGAAGATTATTCAATATGTTCATAATGTTTATTTGAATTGGCAAAACATTAATAAATTGTTCATTTATTTATTTTTTTAACGAAATATTACCTGCATACGTTTATAAAATAGTATATACGAATTGTCAACAAGATTTTGTCTGCAAGGAATGTTTACGTACCTTCCGTTTAATGTTTTATTTTTTAATCATTTAACTTTTTTTCTTCAATCCATGTAGATTTCAATCATCATACAGACAATTATCGAAAAACTTTATAATGGATTTTTCAACTGTTTTTTAATGAAAAAAGAAATGTAAGAAGGAAAAAAATTTTTTCTAGTCTTAGCACTTGCAAACTTTTTTGTGAGAAAATATTTCATATTAAAAAAATCGAGTTATTTTATTGTTGAAGAAACTTAAAGTTATTTAAATGTCGCTAAGTAAACTCGATGGAAAGACAGTGACCTTGTACATAAAAATATTTTGTATGAATGGCTGATTAAAAGTTAAAGCATCACAAATTAACCTGAAAATAAATCCTGGTATAAATAATATGAAAATGCATAGGATTAGATACAGAGCAGTTTTACACACAGTGAAAAAATGAATGTGAATCATTGCAACCTCTCATAAGTGCGATTTTGACTTAATATCGTAACTACATCAATAGAGTTACTGATAAAAAAAAAATGTGTTGAATACGTTGAAATGTATAGCTAATTGATGAAAGTGTAAGCTAAAAAGAATAAAGAAAAGGTTTAAAAAATATTCATAGCCGACACGAATGAACATTACAAGTAAGTGATTGATATAGTACGATTTAACGAACAATGTAAAGTTGAACATAAAGGAAAGCATTTTCAAAATAGTTGTTTACAAGAGCGTGAATTGCACTTGCGTTTATAGCTATACGAATGGTTCCTTGACATATCAAACTCAATAAGATCGGCATACAGTTGGAAAAACAAATTCCACAATCTCGATTTTCATCGCTGGTATAAATATAATGTAATTCGTTAAAAAATTAAAGAAACAAAAAAAAAAAAAAACATTGTTTTTACGAAAACGCAGTCGATGATGAAGTAATGAACTGAGACTGCATTTCTATGTAAGAAAAAATAAATAAATAAATAAATAACGAAACGAAAAGTTAAACGCGTATGTACCATTAATAGTTAAATGTAACAATAAAGTGTTTTTTTTTATAGCAAAATCGAAATAACGGGTTTTGAAAAAGAAAAATCCCCACCTCTGTTCAATTGTAAGCTAGTAAAAAGTGTGATTATCAAGTTTCGCATGAACAAATGAGTAAAAAATCAATATCCCGCGATTGTACCTACGAAAGCTTAAGCGGGCAGTTGACAGATGGAGCGTACGGGCTGAAAGTGGGTCCAGCCGGGCTAAGTGAGGTTTACGGTAATGCAGCTGCCCCAGCATCCAACCGCGTTGGAGCTAATGTTTAATTAACGCCGCATAATTGCTCGGCCAATTAGAGCTCACTCCGTTCGATATTAATCTCCGATTTGAATTCATTTCGATGCGTTTAAATTTTATTGAACGCATAATCATCGCCCTGCCTTTACGAAGTAATTGCTGATGCAAAGAGCGTGTGTTGCGTTAAACTGAGCTGATCATCGTCAGCGTACTTTGAAAATTCATATTCTTCGCGAGATTCCGGCCATTAGCTCAGCCCGTGCCCCTCCAAAACTTTTCCATACTGGCAGGAATATATTAAATGTAGTGTACAGTGATGCTGTGCTTTGACTTGAATAATTCAAAAAATGTGATATGCATACTATCGCCGAAAAATTTCATTTTCCAACAAAGATGATCGCGCCCCGAAAAAATGTTGAAAAACAAGAGAAAACACGGTCGTGCAGGGGCCAAAGCTCTGGCCGCCAACTTATCGATTCCAGCTTAAAGAGACGAACGACGCATGTATACTCATCAAGCGCGCGTATACCCGTCCCGGCGAATTATCGTCAAAGAGGAGTCCGCGGGCTGGTTTTGACGGACGGCGCGAAAATTACCCCAACTTTCCTTTCTCTCCCGTGAGCACGACCGTCCCTGCTCTCAGCCTCTGCGTTACGCACCGGCACTGGAAGAGATTCCGAAGTTTGTATAGTTATACGCGCTCGGTTGAAGTTAAAAAAAAAAAAGGTGCCTTTCCCGAGGCAGACGTGCACATGATACTGTTGGTTCTTTCTTCTAGTTGTCCACGTACGTGCCGAACGATGAAAGAAGTAATAATTGCCTAGTTCCTCTTTTAATACGTGTGTTACGGATGATTATACTTATTCGAGGCATTTATAATGTCATGGGACAAATAATTTCATGGCCATTAGGAAAAAGAATGAGGGTAAAGCCAACTGTAGAATAATTTTAAAATAGATACGAGCCGTTTAGGTCAAATGGAAGAACCTGTACTATTGTAATTTTGTTAAAAAAAAATGATAACTTAAAAAAATATTAATTTAAACATGGATTTAAGCTGCAAGATCGCGGATTTAAGCTGAGCTTTTCTCGTGTACGTCAATTTTGAAACAAGCCTTTCATATTACTTGAAAATTGCAAATTTATTGCAAAACCACGCGCCTAAGAAAAGGCTGTAGTGGAGAAGAAACGTATCGATAATAGTTGTGTAACCGACACATGCTTTTGTGGTTTAGCATCTAAATTCAAGTATAAAATATCACATGTGAATAAAAGATTCGTATTCCCCCAACACTTTGATGAATAACGCGAACGAAGGCGTTACTTACGAAGAGTAGGCTGCCGATGAAAACATCACTGTCTCGTGGTGAGAGGTACGATACGGAGGAGCAAGAGGAGGGTGTTGAGGGAAATTATGCAAAGCGAGCCGCACCCGGAAGAGAAAATCTCCGATGAAGAACTCGGGGTGCACAAAGGGACGAGGGTACTCGGTGCATGCATGGGATAGAAGCACAAAACAAAAGTAAAAAATTAAAAATTTAGAAAANTCATTAATAAAAAAAAAAAAAAAAAGGAAAAAAAAAAAAAAAAAAAAAAAAAAAAAAAAAAAAAAACTAAGAATTCAGCGCAAAGTGACGCGCCATCGTTGGGACGAACGATGAGAATGGAGAAGAGGAGAGGAGAGAAAGGAATGGTAAAAGACAACGTTCTTACAATCCGGGACCGCCATCTATCATCGAGGAGTGTATAGACTATTTAGGCCGTTTCTATGTGCCCGCCTTCTTTACGCACCCGACGTCTTACCTCCCCTTTTCGCTTCTCAGCCGCTTTTTTGTTGTCTCGTTTAATAACTCGTGATGAATGTATAGCCCTTCACTTTTTTTTTATTTTAGTACATTTTTTTTTCTATTTTCTACATACGTATTCCACTTTCTCCGTATCAAACTATCTGTGAAGTTTCATGTTTTAAGGTACAGACTTCGATAGAGTATCGTGACAAGGACTCATACACATATTGATAAAATTTTCATTATTCAATGTAAAGTTCTTACCTGAGAGTAGAGGTCATTTTTAATAATTCTTCTCTCTATCAATGCATTAAGATTATTAGACATGATCAATATTACATAGCATATTGTTCATCTAGAATAACTAACTATACTTTATTAAAACGGGGATTTTAAAGATCAAAGTTAATTCATTGTTAGTCAATGTTTTTTTTTTGTTTTTTTTTTTTTAATATTGTGAATTGTTAGCAAGAAGCTGAAGGCTTAGCTTAAGAAGTCCCCTACTACGAAGATAATGCTTAAAACATTTCAAAAAACTATTTCATCGGAAAAAAAACTTAATTTTTATCCATCAAACGATTCAAAAAAAAAAAAAAGCTCGATTGGATTAGGAAAAATTTCCAATAACCCAATCCACCCCGTTATTTATAAACAATCGACGTGAGTCTTCGCTCGGCATAAATCAGCCTATACATCCAGTGTGGAGCGCTTCGTGGCAATTTCCCTCATGAACTGCAAACTCAACCGCACAAATCCTCGACTCGGGCAGCCCCAAAGTCCGTGCGCCAAGTTTCCATTCGTCACCATCTTTCACAATAATGGCGGTCAGGTTGTGCAATCGACTGGCCCGGGGAACTGCCGGCACCAAGTGGTCAGGTATGCATCACCTTGTCGTCCGTTCGCTCGTTCCTCCACAGCTGCACTCCGAGTCCCTCCCTTATCGAGCCCATAATCCAAGCGCGAGGAACTCTGCAGTACACGCGGCAGCAGCTGCTGACAAACGACCAACCCCCACGTGCCCTGGCGTGAATGACCATTGCGATGCAATGACCGGAACACGGGGAGCTCCTAAATCGTCGCTCGGACTTATTCCCTCCTAACTCACAGCCCCCATCTATCCCTCTGGAATTCCACGGCCGCGGCATTGTTTGATACCACGCGCGTGTGATGCG